GCGACCATAGTAGGTCCGCGACCACTTGTGAACGGTGGGAGAGCGAACGGCGGGAGAGGGAACGGTGCGAGAGGGAATGGTGGGAGAGCGAACGGGGGGAGAGGGAACGGTGCGAGAGGGCACGGTGGGAGAGCGAATAGTAGGAGGGCGGACCGAGGGAGGGTTTAGGGTTTAGGGTTTAGGGTTCAAAACCCTAAACCCTAAACTCATGGCGCACGAGTTGCCGAAACTCGCGGAGGGGAGGTTCGGGGCGGAGGCCGCGTTTAAGAACAAGAACTCCGACGAGATTGGGGCCGCGCTCAAACAGAACATGGGAGGGAGGTGGAAGGAAGCAATGGGCGGCGAGCAGTGGTTTCACGGCCCTGAGACTAACCCGTGGCGCTTACGCAAATACTTGACCTTCCTCGCGAACGAGATGGTTGCGCAGGCGGAGAGGATGGCGACACTCAAAAGGCCCGACGAAACTTTGAATAGGCGACGCCAATGCACCCCTGCAATGCTGATGGGCCGTCTCAAGGCCTTGAACCTGCTCATCAAGCTCGATGGGGCCATCTTTCGGAAACTTGTGCTGAACCTGCTGCGCGACTTCGCGGAGTGCCGTATCTAGGTCTGCGTCTAAGTCCGCGATCAATACAAGCGTTTTTTTGCGTGAGTATGCATAACGCAATCAATGTCCAGAATTTCCATCACGACCACATCACCTAACAGACGTAATATCGTGAAACCGGATGCGCAGGGAACACATGGATCGCCATCGGGGCACGGCCGCGGACACGTACACCCCTGAACATTGCAATCACATGATGCGGAAGTCCAGCATGAATGCCATCTTGAGCAGCTTCGCACTTGCCAAACACGCTTACACGCAGGGCCTGCATCGCGACCTGTGGATTCGGACGATGACCGTCCTCGGTCATCACACTCTAGCCCGCGAGTGCACGATCAGAAACCTCCTGCTGCCAGACATGATGATGTGGAACCTCAGAGCTAAACCATTCATGTTCGTCTGCGCGTGCAGAACAAGCAAGACAAACAAGGACTTCTCCCTCAACTACATCGCTGCAGTGCGGCACTTGGACTGGACGCTATGCGCGGTCGGTGCGACATGGTTCCCGTCGTGAATGAAGACATAGCCCCCCCTCTCGACTTCTCAGAATCCGCCAAGTGATACGACCAGTACATCTTCTTGCCCCTTTGCACGGGTAATGAGAAGCAAATACCGCCCACGACTCATCATGACTGGGCGGCCAAGATCTTGGAGGACGCGGGCATCACATGCTCGCGGTTGGTCCACGCGACCAGGGCAGGAGGGACGAAGCACGCGTGTGCGGACGGAATGCCTTCGGATCAGCTAGCGAGACAGGGGGGATGGCGCTTCATAGATGTGATGACTAAACACTACCTCACCACGATCCCGAAGGAGGGTGTGCATCTGAAGGCGGGATTCACAGGGGTGGACGGTGACTACTATCTGGGTCGCGCAAAGGTCCCGCCCAGTCTGGAGCTGATGAAGCTACTAAGGGAGCACATATTCCCGTGGACTGCCCCTGACAAAGGACAGAAACAAGTACGTTAGCTTACGCGGAACATAATCTTATACTATCGCGACCATTACTCACAGATCTCTTCCACCGCATTGTTAAAATACCTAGCTTGAGTTTGGCTTAGAAGCCATAGTTTAGGTGCCTTAGTAGCTTAGGTTTTAGGGTGTAAGGTGAAAGTCGAGAAAGTTGAGAAGGAGAATGAAGGTCATTAGCAAGAGTTGGGATACAAGTACACCACCCTAATTGGGTTGTACTCATTACAGAGTACCCCACTGCAGGCTAGACAGCAAATACATTCTGACACACCCCCATAGCCAAAGTGGGGTGTAATCAGTACAATAAGCAAGCATAGAGCAAGAGTTCACAATAGGTAAGTAAGGCTAGAGCTAATCACAGAGGGCAAGTGAGGAGGAGGAGAGACTGTGGGGGAGAGAAGATGGGAGGCGACTGCAGACGCTGCAGACACACAGACGAGCTGCTGGCTCAGTGGCTACCGGAACAGCGCTCCGGACTACTGGGGTAACTGGCCCCGCGGCTAAAAGTAGCGGCAGACGAGCAACGGACCCACGGGCGACTGGCGACTACCGGAGATTGTAGCCTCCGGACTGCTGCTGCTGACGACAAGACTGCTGCCTCCACTCAACCTCCCCAGCTGCCTAACGCCCCTCTCACACACCCCCTGCTCAAACCCTAGCCCTACACCCACAGCACCCCCTTAAACCCTAAACCCCAGACTCCCACACATCCACCCCCCTCAGCGAGAGCTGCAGCAGTGGGAGACGAAGGAGGAGGAGGAGGAGGGGACGGCACACACAACCGACACCCCACAACCAGCACCCCCACACCCACCCCCACGGCTGCACCGGGTCCAGGAGCGGCTGCTGCAGGGGCCAGGGGCGGCTGCTGCAGCTGCGGTCGCTCCAGGGGCTGCTGCTGCTGGGGCGGCTGCTCCAGGGGCTGCTGCTGGGGCGGCTGCTCCAGGGGCTGCTGCTGCTGGGGCGGCTGCTCCAGGGGCTGCTGCTGCTGGGGCGGCTGCTCCAGGGGCTGCTGCTGGGGCGGCTGCTCCAGGGGCTGCTGCTGCTGGGGCGGCTGCTCCAGGGGCTGCTGCTGCTGGGGCGGCTGCTGCTGCTGGGGCGGCTGCTCCAGGGGCTGCTGCTGCTGGGGCGGCCGCTGTGGTGGCGGCGGCTCTAGAGGCTGCTGCTGCTGGGGCGGCTGCTCCAGAGCTCCCGAGAGCGCCTCGACGGGCGACAGGAGGGGACCGCGCGCGGGCCCCCAAGACGCCTCGACGAGGCGACGGAGGGGCCGGCTCGCGGGCCCCGAAAGCGCCGCGACGAGGCGACGGGAGAGGCCTGCGTGCGGGCCCCCAAAACGCCGCGACGAGGCGACGCTCGGGGCCGCCGCGCAGGCCCCCAGGACGCCGCGACGAGAGAGGAACCCGCCGCGCGCTTTGGGGCGCACGGCGGGCAGAAAACCGCCACGCGCCCCGAGCGCGTGGCGGGAAGAAAATTAGGAGGTCGCGCGCCACGGGGCGCGCGACACACAGTAGGGCAGCGGAAGCAAGTGGGCCCACAGGCCTGGAGCGTTAAGCTCTGATAACATGTTAAAATACCTAGCTTGAGTTTGGCTTAGAAGCCATAGTTTAGGTGCCTTAGTAGCTTAGGTTTTAGGGTGTAAGGTGAAAGTCGAGAAAGTTGAGAAGGAGAATGAAGGTCACTAGCAAGAGTTGGGATACAAGTACACCACCCTAATTGGGTTGTACTCATTACAGAGTACCCCACTGCAGGCTAGACAGCAAATACATTCTGACACGCGTTCCATACCGCGATTATTTGTTTGGCAAAAAGTGCAAGGATTACAACCGGAGGATGGTCCGCGAAAACACGCCGGAGAAGCAGGACACCGCATGACTCAACATACTGCGAGAGCTGGACGGCGAGGGTCGGATGGCGGTCGCGACCGACCTGGCCATGTATTACATTCACCAGCCAAATCACCCGTACGTGGTCGGGAACCTGCTATGCCAGAAACAAGAGTTCGCGGAGTGGGCTGCAGACGTCTCCTTGGCGAATCAACTGGCCATAGTCCAGCGCAACACGCCTACAGTGACTCGTGGCGCGGTGAGTCCAACACTGATCGCATTAGCAAATTGTCAGAATTCCATTGCCCGACCATCAACCGCATGATCTCGCTCTCTGTCCATGCAAGAGGTCAGTACCAGGATGCACGCGCAGAACCAGGTGACAGTCCTCACAGAGTACCTGACCCATGCGCAAGCAGACAACACCAGGCTGGGCCTACAGTTGGTCGCGACTCAGAAACGAGTCAGTGAGTTGGAGAAGGCGGTGGAGGAGCGCGACCAGAAGCTAGCCGCGAAGGACGAGCTCGTGACTGAATTGGAGGCACAGCTTTCGCGTCTCAGCGTCAGCTCCTCAAAGCCGACAGCGAATTTAACTCCTCCAATCCATGATGGAGCCCCTGCCGCGTCCACCAACAACAACACACCCACCGAACTGGCACCAAGACTGAAACCCTCAGCGCCGACCAGGGACGAGACGATTCGCGACGCGATCATTCTCCTGTGGATCATAGCGACCAAACCGTCGGACGGATGGAAGCTCTACAAGTACGTGCATCCGCTGATCCTCGAGAGTCCAGAATCGCTCATGTGGCAACGCGTTGTAGTAGCGCGATTGGAGCAGCTCGTTGGAAAGGCTGAGGGCGGCCAGAACGCGATCAATCGCGTAAAGCGCGTTATGGACCTCATCGCGGGCAGGGTGGAGCAAGGGGACGACCTCGGGGTAGTACGCGGCAAGCACGACATTGTGTCAAAAAATGGCGGCCTCTCGGGCCTCTCGGAAGGGACCGCGATAAAGAAGAAGATCGTGTAGGCGGATCTGAGTCAGCTCAAGAAGGGTTCTTCGGCGGAGGTGCAGCTGCGTGTGAAATGGATGCTTGTGTTTCACCGTCTAATTGATGCCTCCCTTCCCGCGACTGAGTTCCCAATCGCGTGGCCACGGTACTGTGCACGGATGCCACCACTATATTAGATAGATTCTTGTTCGCGACTGCACAGTTGCTTTGCTTTGCTTTGTTTGCTTTGTTTGTTTGCACGCGTTGTGACTTCCATACTACACGCCCTAGGGTTATGATTGTTCGCATAGTGGTGCTTGTACATAGTGGTGGCTGTTTACTGAATCGCGTACATCAGGATGTACCAACTCAATGCATATGTCCGCGTGTGTTGTCATCGCGTTTAAAAAATGTTTGTAACTTATCGCGTTCACTGACAAGGGCATAGCAAGGAAAAAGTTTTGGACTACACACGATGTACCAGCATAGAGAGTATATCCACCGCGAGATAAATCTCAAGCGGGGTGGATGATCCACCTACACTAACAAAGTGTCTCATGCAGCTACGCACACTAGTGTTTCCAACCGCGATACTGACTACCACATTCACGCGGACCTCTTCTTTGCGGACAGACGCTTCTCAGGCAGAGCGAGATAGAGCCCGTTAGCCTCCATCATCTTGGCCACGATCTTGCAGTCGCTCCAGGTCATCAACACGTCTACTGCCTCGTGCGCGACTATACCAACCAGGGTGGGGTCCCCAAGGCGAGCACCAAGGCAGTTCGCGACCGCGGGCTCGATCGCCTCCGCGACCTGCTTCGGCGTGACCTCGGTGGTGTGCGTGCGTGCACTCTCCTTCCTGGCCCTCTTAAAGACCGCCAGCACAATGGAGGGGAAGCCGCGGGCCTTTTCTTCTAGGGTGCCTGCAGATTGCGCCGCCACGTATCCAGCCTCTACGATTCCGTCGATGTTGAGACCGTTGCACGTCTCCCGCACCATCGCGATTGCGCACGCGACCGCACCGGCAAACAGGGCTTCCTGGGCGCCGGTGACATCGGGCTCCTCGTCTTCCGCCTCCTTCCCCACCGCAGCTGGCCAAGCGACAGCGTTGCTGAGGCTGGAGTTGGGGCAGGTGAGGTCGCGGTAAGCGTTGAACATGTGGTGGTACCTGCATGAATGGGCAAATGAACAACACTGTTAGACTCGTAGATGATCGCGTACAGGTCATTCGGGGAAAATTGATGATGATCACGAGCGTACCTGTCAACATTGCCGCAAAGGTTTCGGAGGTGCATGGTGGCGAAAAGCCCGGTGCACATCGCCCCGGCCGCGGAGATGTCATCGGCCCACTCACTTTTCTGCTGCGCAGTCAGCTTGAGCCCGGGGTCTATCTTCTTGTCGTAACACATGACTGCGATCGCAGTCAGGTACTGCACCTCTTGGTGGGAGTGATGACCCAACCAGCGACATCGCCCTCCAAGCCACGGTTCGCCGACCATCCCCTCTCCACCCCTGGGTGGGGGGCGGATACCACAGCCCTTCCTCTTGCCGCTCCTGTCGCCTGTCTCGCAGGGCCCAACGTACTTTTGCAGCACCAGCTCAACCTCGTCGTCCGCGTCCGAGTCTTCGTCGTCGTTGTCCATTTTGATCGCGGTTGCTGGCGGCTTGCAACCACCGCGTCCCTGATTCTTCGCCTTTACAGCGACATCAGCCGCGGGGGGTTTTGCAGTGGCGGTGGAGCTTAGTCCAGGCAGTCCAGACGCGATCGCGGCGGTGTTGCCTGCCGCTGGCACGAGCACGGTGGGGGTGAGCGCGTTGGTGGTGGTCGCAGTGGTGGTGGCCGCCGGCGGAGCGTCCTCAACCTTGGCCTTGCCCTTACGAGAAACTAAAGCCGTGGACAAAGGCGGTGGTCTCGCAGTAGCATCCGCCCTGGTGGTTCCCCTCGGGATCTGCCCTGCACGCAGATCGACCGCGCCCCCCTTGCTCTTCAGGAGGTCGGTGACACTGGGAACCACGGGACCTTTCTGCCTCTTCCCTCCGAGGCTGCTCTCAGGCCTCCCTGTCTCCTTGTCCGCGACCCTCTTCCCTGTCTCCTTGTCCGCGACCTTCTTCGCGGCCTCCTTGTCCGCGACCCTGTCTGCCTCATGCGGTCCCACTGTGCCTAGGCGTTGCTCGGAACGACCGGAAAGCATGGTGATGACAGTGTTGAACGCGTTGGTCACGCCGCTTGTTGTGATCGCGCGTTCGGAGGTGGCCGCAATGTTGGACGACGCGCCATCTATCTTCTTTTGGGCGGTTTCCATGGAGTCCACTACCACCCCCTTCAGGTTACCCGCGCTATCCTCCAAGTGAGCAACAGCGCGTTTCATCACCTCCCTCAGGACGCGGTTCTCTGCCCTGTCCTTCGCGGCTGCCTTGGACTCCTTGAGTATCACCCGTTCCGCGTTATGCACATGATGCAGCACCTTCTCCACCGTGGCCGCGAGCTCCTCGTAACTCTGCGTGATTACCACCGCAGCTTCCTGACCAGGCTTTGCGGGCTCGACTTCCTCCAGCGTGGTTTTTTTTTTTAATATTTATTTATTTATTTATTTATTTATTTATTTATTTATTTATTTATTTATTTATTTATTTATTTATTTATTTATTTATTTATTTATTTATTTATTTATTTATTTATTTATTTATTTATTTATTTATTTATTTATTTATTTATTTATTTATTTGTTTGTTTGTTTGTTTATTTATTAGTATGACAATTGGTAAGGCGCTCGTCGAGGCGCTCGTCGGGTTTATTGTTCGAAAAGGCAAGCGTGCAACACCAAGAACGGTCGTAACCGTGCGTGAGGGGCTGGGCAGACCCTAACCCCGAAAAACAAGACACATTAGGGCACGTTGGGACCCACCCTCCGAGGTGACCACAAAGCTGCAAACGCACTTGTCCACTTCCAACTGATATCGTCCTGTGTTATCCTCCGAAGCATGGTCCGTTCCTTCTCATAATTACACCGCAACTGTTTCCGCTGCGCCGAGCCGAACTTCCGAGTGTAGATCCTTGCATGCTGCCTGAACGCTAAGGCAATCTTCCATAAAACCCTCTGAATCCGGAACTTGCCGCCACGGAACACCGCCTCACACCGTTCTAACCACAGCTGATGGAAGGTGATGGCGGTGAGAGTCAGCTCCGGGAATGCTGAGCTGGTGCCAGTTTTCCGGAACAGAAGATCACCCAACGTGTCGATCCTGCGGCCAGGGTTCAGCAAGCACAACGCACGCCTGAGGGCCGAGGAAACCACCTGAACACATGGGCAGAGCAGGAGGCAATGCTCCATCGATTCCGATTCCCCGCAGTACGGGCAGACTTGCTTGCTGCTGAGGAAAGCCAACCTCTCCCCGACTTGAAAATTCCAGCCGTGGATTCTGATGAGAACATCCCGCGGACGGCTAGGAATCGCCAAGGAGTCCCTAGTCGCAATCGCCCGTTTCCAGTCAACAGTCCCGCGCCACTTTTCCGCCCACTTCTGCTGCTTGCATGACTGCTACTCTGCGCCACGCCAGCCCTCCTTCATCCGCCTCTCAGACACAACCCGACCCCCTTCCACCACCACCAGCCTCTGGGGGGAGTCAGCCGAGCAGGGAGGAACAGTCGGGAAGCCCAGCAGGCTCTGCCAAGTGGCTGGCAAAGCCTTCAGTGCTTTGAGAGCAAGCTTAGCCGGGCCGTTACCCCCCAGCTGCTGAGATAACGCCGCCATGGCCTTCAGGTCAAGCTCCCCGTCAGTCCCCTGCACCAGCAAATCGCCCAGGCGGACCCCTTTCAGTCTCTGAGCGTCCTGTTGCCCTCCGACAGGCGTGGAGCCGTTTAGTAGAACTTCTCGATTAAAAAAGATTCTCTCCCGCAACACTTCCTCCCTGCTACCAGCTGGGGCCCGAGTCCCGAAGGGAGACCGCATGAAAAATTCACACGTCTGCTTCCAGCGGATGCCGCGGCCAGACCAGTGCTTAATCAACTTCTCGTGCGCCTCAAAGGTGTCCGCCCCCAGTGGAAGACCCGCCGCCAGCGCCATGATCTCTTTCTTCAACGAGTTGCGCTCAATGAGGAACAGCCTCGCAGCCAGACACATGATGATCATCTCCGGGTCCCTAACCCCAATCCTCCCGGCCGCCCTGGACTTGAACAGCAGCTCCCTGCTCCGGAGCTGGAAGCCCTTCGCTCCCGAGACCCTATTTCCGGAGATGAAGCCCTGGATCAATCTCATCAGCTCTTCCCAGATGGCTGCCGGGGGCGAGTACACCTGAGCCTGAAAGGCGATTATCGGCGTGATGTAACTGTTCACCACCGTCGCTCTTGCCGAAGTTGTGAGATACTTCTGCTTCCATTTGACTAACTTCCCGCTGATGTGCCCCAGCGCCTTCTCCCAGGTCGGTAAACCACTGCCGGAGGGAGTCACCCAGACGCCCAGCAGCCTCTCTGCTTCGTCCGCGCCGGCGCGCTTGAAACCGCGCAAAGTATCGCCATTGACCCGAGTATTGACACCCAAAGGTAAGACCACCGTTTTATCCGCGTTTGTCGCAAGCCCCGAGACTTTCTCGAACTCCGACAACAGCTGCACCGCTCTGATAATCTGCTGCTTCCCCTGCAGGACCAGCGTCGTGTCATCCGCGTAGCCCAGATAACCAAGCTGCCACCCCGCCTCAGACAAACCAAGCTTCCTACGCTCCACCTCCTGCGCCAACGGCTCTACCGCGAATAGGAAGAGATAGGGAGCTAGAGGGCATCCTTGCCGAACCCCCGAGACCACCTCCAGCCCCTCACCCAGCCATCCATTTACTAACAGCCGTGTCTTCGTGTCTCTGTGCAGGCCCTCGATCCACCCCACAAAGCGGTCAGGGAAGCCCATGCCCCGCAGCACTTGGAAGAGGAAGCTGCGGGAGACTGAGTCAAACGCTTTCTGAAAATCGACCAGAAGCAAGTGCCAGTCCTTGCTCCCGTTTCTCGCGGCCTCAATAATGTCTGCCACCAGGGACACCGCATCCGACAGCCGCCTTCCCGGCAGGAAACCATACTGCTCTGGGGAGATGACCTGGTGCAGCACCGTCTTCATTCGGTCCGCAATCACCCGCGCCAAGACCTTGTAAGTGAAATTTAACAAGGTGATAGGGCGGTAGTTATTGAGCTGATCCTTCTCTCCCTTTTTATGAAGTAAGATCGTCACCGCCTCCTTGATTTCATCGGGCAGCGAGGAGGAAGCCTGGAAATCCCGCGCCATGGCCATAAAACTCCCCCCCAGCAGGTCCCAGTGAACCTGAAACAACTCCTTCGGCAACCCGTTGCTCCCCGGAGACTTGTTGTTCGCCATTGCCGCAAATGCCCTCTTAACTTCCTCCTCCGTCCATTCTGCTTCTAGAAAAGACGCCAACCCCTCCTGCAGACAACGGCTTGGGGCCACCTTCCAGCCCGTGAAATCGGTTCTGCGGTCCTGCCCGAAGATATTTGTGAAGAACTCCGACGCAGCCTCCAGCACCGGCCTGGGACCGCCAACCGTGGATCCGCCGACCTTTAGTTCCGCGATTTGCGTCCTCGCTTTTCGCGCCCGAACTTTAGCAGAGAGATGCTTGGATGCTATCTCCCCGGTAAGTTCTGCCATCAAACCCGCTTGCAAGTGCAGCTTATCTCGCCTAGCAGCATGATACGCCTTAAGATGCTGCTCCTTTTCCGCCAGTAGCGCCTTCTTCCTTCCACAGCCTGGATCTCCCATTAACTCTTGTTTTAAAACTGCAACCGCCCGATGCAGGTGCGCCAGCGTGGCCTTCACACGCTTCCCTTCCTCCCTCGCGTAGGACCTGAGGCCAACGCTCAACCGTGACAGCAGAAGCTCGAAACTGCTGCCGTCATTGACCGGTGTACGCCGCACCGTCGCCTCAGTGACCTTCCGAACTCCCGACCTGCGCAACATGGAAGCGTGGAGCCTCCAGATACCCGACCCTGTGCGATCCTTCGCATCCAGCCGAAATGCCACGTGGATTGCAAAACCATGATCCGCGATAGGCTCCTTCGGCATCTCATGGGACGCCAGCGACAAGTGAGGCAGCAGAGATTGAGAAACCAGCGCCCGGCCAATCCGTGAACTCTCCTGCTGCGCCGCTGAGTAAAACGTGTACTCTCTTTTCCGTGGATGCAGGACCCGGAACGCATCAGAGAGCTGGAAGCTGCAGCAACGCAGGAAGAGCTTCTCATTCTCCGCCGACGAGCCGCTACCCGAGGTTTTGTCTAAAGCAGGGTCTTCAATCAGGTTAAGGTCACCGATGATAAGAAGGTGAGATGATGAGGGGATCTGATCCACCACCGGGCCCAAGACATCCCGGAAGAAAACTGCTCTCAAGGCCGGGTCCGCCGGGAAGTAGACGGCTAAAAGCGTGAGCTCCAGGCCCACCCTGCCCACTGTGGACCTAACTAATCTTCCGGATGGGTGCAACATAGTGTCCTGAAAGGAGACCTGCAGGTTACGACAGAGAATCGCAACCCCACCGGCTCTCGACAAAGGCGGAGGGGATGCAGCAAGTACTGTGGTGGAGGTATGATTTGCGAGCGAGTTCTAGTACGAGTGACCTGAAGCTATCCTAGTGTCCGCTAAAATCATTACGTCTGCCGCTGATCTGTGTCAGTCTGTGACTCGTTCTTGCTTCTTCCAGTCTCCCAGGCCGTTAACATTGACAGCCGCGAAGGTGAGGTGGGTTTTAAGATTCATTAAACAGTCGACTTGCAGCCCCAGATCATCCACAGGCTGGAAAGAGACAACGAACTGACAGATCCGACAACCGACCACAAGCTAATCTCCGCTACACACTCCTTTCCTCCTGAGCTGGCTAAAAACCGTACTCCTTCCGAATGGTGTTGAGGTTCATCTTCTCGAGAGACAACTTCGTAGCGGAACCGAACTTCTCCTGATGGAGCAGATGACTCGCCGATGCAATATGTTCCGAAGCCGACAAGAAACTCTTCCCCTTCGCCTTCCCACAGGCAGACTGTGTGCAAAGCCATTCCTCCCTATTTCCGCCGGTGGAGATCAGCGCAATAGCGGGGTCGCGAAGGATTGGAAGAACCAAAGAGGACGCGAGAAGAGAAGCAGCTGCGAGAAGCCACGCAAGCGTCAGTAAAAGCATAAAGGTGAAAAAGGGGGACCGTGATGCAACGGAAAGGTCCGTTAGCGTTAAGACGATGCACCCTGCCCAACGACAAGTTCCATTTACCAACATTATTTTGCCTCTCAGTGACAAACACATCATGATACTTATCATGATGATGTCCCCCGCAGAGAGAGCAGGAGAAGGCCGGATAATGGATCAACAGCTTCTTCCCCTGCTCTAGCGGATTGCCGATCACTTGCTTCCAGATGAGCTGACCGTCATTGTGACTGTAGACCAGACCCTTGGTGACATCTGTGTCAGCTCCCGTAACAGGATGCAGGACCCGATGGAAACAACTGCCAGCACGGAAAATCGGTTGTTGTTTCCCTTTCAGGTTGTACTTTGCCATACACTCCTTCAACAGATCCGGTGAGATGTTAGCAGAGATGCATTTAAAAACCACCTCAATAGCATGCGGATTCAGAGACTTCTCTTTCACGTAACCAGCATCCTCAGTGTGTTGCCAGAAAAGCTTGAACTCCATCCCATTGGACTTATGGTAAACCACCTCCTTCTCGCGAACCCCCAAAGCATCACTTTCCAGCAGGAGGGAGAGTTGAAGACGACAGAACTTTGTCTTGGCCACATACGACGGCAGAAGCTCCTGAAACTTCACGGTAGAAGGAGCACCAGCCGATAACGACGAAGCCCAAACACGCTTAAGTAGCATCTTAACAGAGGAAATGGCCGAAGCCATCTCCTGCGACAAAGCAAACGGTATGAGCAGAAGAGCCGTGAAGCGCAGATGCGCAGAAACGACTTGCTGAAAATCGAAGTCAAGTTCGTCGTCAGAGTCAGAGTCTGTCGTTAGTGCATCATTAGAGTCCACAGTGGTAGCCACTGACGGGACCTGAAGCTTGTCAGCAGCGGAAAGGCCAGAACCACCAGCAGCAACACCATTGACTGCATTATTGTCGGAAACACCCCCTGTGGTTGCTGCAGGCGAATCAGGAGCATCAGGGATACCCCCCTGAGCGTCGACAGGCTTCACGCGCTTAGGAGGCATGGTTAGGCGATGATGAGCTGAAGACGATGAACCAGCGACAGAAGCTGGCCAGCAGAAGAAAGGCTGAGGTCTGAGCCAAGAAGACCGTGCCTCCTTAGTTAAATAGACGTCTTGTGAGTGTTGTTGCTCCTGTTGATGTAAAACCGAGAGAAACCCCCGGCAGCCACCTCGGGAGAAGATTAATCTTGAATGTAGGTCGCGATAGCCTCTGTGAAAAAAGGAACTCCCAGGAAGCCGCGTGAGACCCAGAGATAATGAAACCTTGGACTTCGTTTCTTGACATGAAACCATGTACACTTTCGAAGCAGATGCAATGTCCGCCTGATGGACACAAGAGGTGTATAGATCGCTTTGTCTAGATGTAAGGAACACGGATCTGTCCTTAATGAAGTCAACTGACAGACTGGCTTCACGAACACGCGGGTCAAAGTCATGGCAGAAACCATGGCGGAGAGCTATCATGGCTATCATGAGACCAGATTCACGTGTATGCGACGAATCATGTATCTTCCTCCAGCGTGGTGACTCGGCGCTTCTGTGTCCGCAGCTGCTCGTCCAGGTGTAGAATTTCCTCGGCGAGCTTACCAGGATTAAGCTTCACCAGTTTATCGAATTTCCGCTTCCCTGCGACCAGGCTCTTTCCCGCAACCTCGAACGATGGGGCCGCGCTTCCTAGACGGGGGGACAACGCCGCAGTGAGACTTCGAATACTCTTCCCGGCACCCGCGACCGGCACCTAGCCCCAGCTGTGACTGCCTCCTCCACCTCATCCTCCACCTCCTCGTCGTCCTCTTCCCCCTCCATGTCGGCCGACCCCTCCAGCTCCAACTCATCGCCATGGTTACCCATCGCGACTTCAGATCCGGCATTCTCTCCGCAATCACGACCATCATCTTCCTCCGATTTCTTCACGGCCGGTCCACCCTGACGCGCGGTCTCAGGGGCATCCTCGTCGCGGTTAGAGTTCGATCCCTCGTCCTTCTCCCCCTGTTCCACGGTCACTTCAGCCCCATCCCCTGCGTTCGCAAGCGAGCGCATAATCAGTAGTCAGTGCGAGTGTTTCGCGACCAGAAACATGCGATCCCGCGGGCTGTTCGCGCGACCTCAGACGTTCATTACCGTGAGCATACCCCCCGTGACCGTCCGCTATACCGCATCTAGACTTGAACGCGAGCTCCTCCGCGGCGCGTTTCGCATCCTGCCTCAATGTAGTCAGGGCCCTTTGAATTGGCTTGGCAACGCGCGGCGCAGGGTCGTGTCCAACAACGACGCCGAGGTTCGGGCTAGTCCCGAAGCGTAGGCCGACTCTCGACCGGGCCAGCGGTGCATGGCTTGGTGAAACAGTGCGCGCGAAGTTGGCGAAGCCCCGTTAGCAGTAACGGGCGAACAACGGCTGCTGCTGTACGCGATGCTGACGGTCGCGGTAAGGAATGTCGAGAAAATTCTTTACAGTAAGGTAAAGGGAAGATTCCATGCAGCTTTTGTATTTCTGCTTTGACAATTTGCTTCGATGGTAGGAATTGCTTTCTTGATATTGTGCACAGGGCTTCAGATTCGTTTTGGGCCACCCTTAGTAATCAGGGTTCTAGGTATAGTCAACCCTGATGCGTAGGGTAAACTTTTTGTTTCCCTGACAAAAGAAGGGTAAATAAAAAGTTAGTCTGTTTGGCCAGAGTTTTTTTTAACCTTGGTATATTAATAAACACAGCTGTATGAAGTACTTAGTGGCTCAGTTTGTTAAATAATAGGTAATGTGGGAGAGATCGTAGGTTCAAGTCTCGCTGTCGGAAGTATTTTGCATGGGCCCATATACGATTTCGTCTCGCTACAGAGCATTCGGTAGCAGTATAACTAAGATTGTACAGTATACAGTCAGGGAAAAAAGTTCCATACTCTGTTTTTCAAAGAATACAAGAAAACTTACACTTTCTGGCCTAGGGTAAAAAATCTGTCAAATGTTGTAGCCTATAGTGAGGTTTGTCTTAGGGGGTACAAAACTTAGGGTTAGCTATATGTACCCCAACCAACATCAATGCATCATCCATTCCTCATTCTGACATGGTATCAGTTAGGTTAGGATCCTGTGGGATCCCGTTCCTCCGTTCTCCGTTCGTATCTCCCGAGCCTGATCCTACCTCTCGTTCGTACCGGTTCCGTTGTTACCGCGCCTAGTGCCGAGCCTAGCGCCCTTTCCCCCCCCCCCGTCACGTCGCGCCCTTTCCCCCCGTTGCGTCGCGCCCGTTCCCCCCCGTCGAGTCGCGCCCTTTCCCCCCGTCGCGTCGCGCCCTTTCCCACCGTCGCGTCGCGCCCTTTCCCCCCGTCACGTCGCCCTGCCCCGTCCCGTCGCCCTGCCCCGTCCCGTCGCCCTGCCCCGTCCCGTCGCCCTGCCCCGTCCCGTCGCCCTGCCCCGTCCCGTCGCCCTGCCCCGTCCCGTCGCCCTGCCCCGTCCCGTCGCCCTGCCCCGTCCCGTCGCCCTGCCCCGTCCCGTCGCCCTGCCCCGTCGCGTCGCCCTGCCCCGTCGCGTCGCCCTTCCCCGTCCCGTCGCCCTGCCCCGTCGCGTCGCCCTTCCCCGTCCCGTCGCCCTGCCCCGTCGCGTCGCCCTGCCCCGTCGCGTCGCCCTGCCCCGTCGCGTCGCCCTGCCCCGTCGCATCGTGCCCGCCCTTTCCCCCGTCCCGTCGACCCTACGCCCTGGCCCGTCGCTCTAGCCCGCTCTTCCGCTGCGACTAAGTCCCACCTGAACCCTAATTTGCCTCTTACCTCCTGCGAGTTTTGCTCCGGCATTCTCGCTGGATTCTGTCGCGAACAGGGCATTCGTCAGTCCTGGACGCTTCCGGAGTCCCCACAGCAGAATGGGGTTGCTGAGCGTCGCATAGGCCTGGTCATGGAGATTGCCCGCACCTCCTTGACTCACGCCCGTGCCCCCCATTTCCTGTGGCCATACGCAGTCAGGTACGCCGCGCACCAGCTGAACCTCTGGCCACGCGTCTCTCGGCCGGAGGCTTCACCGACCAGTCTTTGGACAGGGTCCCCTGGTGTCGCGTCGAGGTTTCGTGTCTGGGGGTGCTTGGCTCTTGTCCGCGACACCTCCGCGGACAAGCTCTCGCCTCGCGCCGTTCCTTGTGTCTTCCTTGGTTTCCCTGAGGACTCCTCTGACTTCACCTTTTACCACCCTCCCTCTCACCGGTTCTTTGACTCCCGTGACGTCCGTTTCGAGGAGTCCACCCCCTACTACGTCAGGTACCCCAGTCGAGGTCTCCCGGTTCCTCCTCCCCCCCTCTTCCTGACAGCCGCTCCCCCGCCTGCTCCCCCGGTACAGCCTCCCCCCCCTGGTCCAGCCCCGTCTGGTGTGTCTCAGGCTAGCCCTCCCCCTTCGGTAGCCCCCCCTGTACAGCCTCCCTCCCCACAGTCTTCCTCGCCGCCTCCTGCAGGTGCTCCCTCTCGGGAGGTTGGTCCTGCGACTGTCCCTGTACAGGTCTCTGGTTCTGGGGGTGCTGGAGTTGGAGCTGAGCCGCGGGTTGCAGAGGACTCTTGTCTTCCGGGGGCTGGTACTGGTCGTGCGGAGTCTGGGGGTGCTGGTGCTGCGTCTGGGGGTGAGGGTGTTCCTTCGGTTTCTGGAGAGCCTGGGTCTGGAGCTGGTGTTGGTGCTGCCTCTGGGGGTGGTGTGCTTGGTGCTTCGGAGGTCGACTCTGGGGCTGCCGCTGCCCCGGACACTACTCCTTCCCCCCACCCCTACCCGACCAGGTTCCAGGCTCGTGTTCGCCGTGCTCGTGAGGAGCAGCTGGAGTTGGAGAGAGAGGAGAGAGAGTTGCAGCGGCTCGAGGAGCAGGAGCGACAGCAGCAGGGGCAGCAGCCGCTGGAGCAGCAGCAGCAGCTGCCGTCTCCTCCTCCTGTCTCGGGTCTTCGGACCCTTGGTCTCCCCTCTCCCTCTCCTTCCTCCTCCCCCTCTCCTCCCGTCTCTGGTCCTCCGCTTCCTCCTCCTGACCCCTCTCCCGCTGTTTTCCCTCGTTCTCAGTCTTCGTTGTCCCCTCCTCCTTCTCAGACTTGGGCCTCTCGTCGCTCCCCTCGTGCTCGTCCCTCGTCTCCTGTTCCCTTCACTGACCTTCGTACTGCCTTACTTCGTTCTAGTCCACCTCGTCCGTCTCCGTCTGTGCTTCCGTCTCCTCCTGAGTCGGCTCTCACTGCGTCGCTCCCTACTCCTGTCACTGACTACTACCGCACGTACCGTCCTCTTCTCTCTCGTGTTCTCGCCTCGCTTGTTACTCACCCTCGTGCCTCTGTGTCCTCTGTGTCCGCTCTTACTGCCGCAGTCACTGACTTTGCCTCTACCCGCCGCCTTGACTTCGCCACCGCTCTTGTGGCTGCTCCTCCTTCCAGTCCTCTGGCCGTCGGGGGTGTGTCTGCCCTTGGCTGTGACGCCCTAGAGGACAGGCAGTTTGAGCTAGAGTTCCTGGCGGCCGCTTCCCCTCATCTCTGTGCCATGCTCCTCGCCCCTGAGGGTGACCCCGACGCCCTTGACATTCCGACTCCTCGCACTTACGCTGAGGCAGTGTCAGGGCCTTGGGCCTCTCAGTGGAGAGCTGCCATGGACGCAGAGATGGCCTCCTACAGATCCACAGGCACCTACGTCGATGAGGTTCCCCCTCCGGGGGCGAACGTAGTTGACGGCATGTGGATCTACAGGGTGAAGCGGCCACCGGGATCTCCTCCGGTCTTCAAGGCGCGCTACGTGGCTAGAGGTTTCAGTCAGCGCGAGGGAGTTGACTTCTTTCAGACCTTCGCGCCCACCCCGAAGATGACCACTCTTCGGGTGTTACTACACGTAGCAGCACAGAGAGACTACGAGTTACACTCTCTCGACTTCTCTACTGCTTTCCTTCAGGGCAGTCTTCACGAGGAGGTCTGGTTGCGTCGTCCCTCTGCCTTCACTGGCTCTTTCCCTCCTGGGACCCAGTGGAGGCTGAGGCGACCGGTTTACGGTCTTCGTCAGGCTCCTCGTGAGTGGCACGACACCCTGCGTTCTACCCTGTCTGACCTTGGGTTCCAGCCGTCTTCTGCTGACCCGTCGCTGTTCGTTCGTCGTGGCCCCACACCTTTCTTTGTTCTGGTCTACGTTGACGACCTTGTTTTCGCCACCCCTGACAGGGTTGCTTTGGCACACGTGAAGTCCGAACTGCAGAAGAGACACACCTGCACTGATCTTGGTGAGCTGCGCCACTACCTTGGCCTGCAGATCACCAGGGACAGAGCTGCTCGCACCATTACACTTTCACAGTCGCACATGGTGCAGCAGGTCCTTCAGCGGTTCGGGCTTCAGCACTCCACAGTACAGCGCACACCTCTTGCTGTTGACCACAGACTCACTGGACCCTTTCCTGACGAGCCGTTCGAGCCTAGTGGTCCCTACGCAGAGCTTGTGGGTTGCCTCATGTACCTGATGACTTGTACTCGCCCGGACCTCGCCTTCCCTCTCAGCGTTCTTGCGCGCTTTGTTGCGCCAGGGAGACACCGTCCTGTTCACTGGACAGCAGCTGTGAGGGTGGCGAAGTACCTAGCGACGACGTCAGGCGTGGGGCTAGTTCTTGGAGGGCAGCAGTCTGTCGTACTTACTGGTCACTGTGACTCCTCTTACGCTGACGACGCTGAGACTCACAGGTCTACTCAGGGGTACTGTTTCAGCCTGGGTTCTGGAGCTGTTTCCTGGCGGTCCACGCGCTCCTCTTCGGTCTCGACCTCTACAGCTGAGGCTGAGATCTACGCTGGTGCCATGGCGGCACAGGAGCTGCGTTGGTTGACCTTCTTGCTCACCGACCTTGGTGAGCGGCCGAGCTCTGCACCGACCTTGTTCACTGACAACAAGGCGTCTATTCTCCTTTGTCGAGAGCCACGACTGGAGAGCAGAGTGAAGCACATTCACGTCAGGTACTTTCTTCTGCGAGAGTTGCAGAGGCGTGGACAGGCTCGCTTTGAGTTTGTGGAGTCCGAGGCCAACACTGCAGACATCTTCACCAAGGCGCTTCCGCCTTGTGACCACCAGAGGTGCTGTGTGCAGTTAGGCCTTGTTGACACTGGTTCTCGTGTTGCTTAGACTTGAGTGTACTGTTTACTTTGCTTTCTATATACCTCTGTTACTTCTTGGACTGGCCTTGTGGCCACTGTTGTTTGTGCTCAGACTGTGTGGTGACGTTGTGATCCACCCTGAGCTTCGTTTCTTGGACTGGTCTTGTGACCGTACTCGTTTGGTTCTGCTAGACACCCCTCACTTAGGCTATGGGGGTGTGTCAAATGTTGTAGCCTATAGTGAGGTTTGTCTTAGGGGGTACAAAACTTAGGGTTAGCTATATGTACCCCAACCAACATCAATGCATCATCCATTCCTCATTCTGACAAAATCCGTTACCCTGCCTGTGAAAGGGTAACTGAAAAAAAGCGGCCGCCAGTCAGTGCAAAAATGGTAACGAGAGGCCTGATTGTGCACAATTTGCTACCGTATTGTTGAAACGTACCCATTACTGCACTGTTATGTAAAACGTTATCTACAATCAACATCACAATCAAGCAGACGTTGCTGAGCGAGCACGTCCTGCTTGATGGACCAAACGATTCGCAAAAAAATAAAATAAAATAAAAAATCTAAGGGGAAACCAAAATGGAGGCTTCCCACCCACAACACCTGCTGCTGCTGCTGCTGTTGCTACTATGTGGGCCAAGCTTCAAGCAGTATGTGAGCAGCACCTGCCAAGGAGAGCTCTGCCAGCCACAACAAGCGCATCTACGGGCATGAACAATGTCGTTCAATGTTCCTCCACAGGAGATTCGCTGCTGCCGCATCCATCAAACATCCCCCTGGCTGTCTCCCCATACCATACCATCCCATCCCCCTGCCAGTCGTAAGCTCCCTCCTCTAGCCCCCTGGCTCTAATTACCACCCTGGCTCCCTCTCCAGCCCCCTGGCTGGCTCTAATTACCTAATATGCCCTTCTATTTAGGCCAAGTGCATGGTTGACCTGTCCCCTGCAATCCCACAGGATGCGGGGTGTATGTGTGGTAACCAACCACAAGTAGCCTATGGTGTCCCTTTGGTTGGGGAGCCTTTCTGGGTTTGTAAGAGCCTGTATGGCCTTGTGGGGAGGGGCGAAATGGAGGAGGAGAGAGGAGATGGGGGAGGAAGTGGCTGCAGAAGCTCTAGTCTACGAAATCTATGGGCTCTAGAGCTTGGATAAGATACGTTACGGGGAGAGGAGGGTGATGGCGATGCTGACATACTAGATCTCCTGCTGTCCACTTCACCACGCTCCCTCTGTGAACTGGAGCTACTAGAGCAGCTACCGTGAGATGACATGTTGGTAAGAGCGGTTAAGGGGAGAGGAGGGTGATGGCGATGCTGACAGCTACCAGTAACCCTGCAGTCCACGTCATTGTACAGGCGGATTCCAGGGGTCCACACGCAGCCACGTAGGCACTGCTGTCCACATCATCATGCTGGGTGTAGGCTACGGGGAGAGGAGGGTGATTGCAATGCTGACAGCCACTAGTAACCCTGTAGTCCACGTCATCGCACTGGCGAATACCAAGGGGTCGACACACAGCCACGTAGGCACTGCTTGCACAGGTGGCTCGAGGACCACCTTCTGACCTGGACCAATCAGAGCCACTGGATCTGCTGCCCCTGGTGTGCGGCTAGCTGCTTGCCTTTGTGTTGTCGTTCCTCTATTCCTATCCACATCCACAGCCACGGCTGGTGCAGCAGCAGTTGCAGTGGCAGTGGTAGTGGTGGCGGTGGTGGCGGCGGTGGTGGTGGCAGGAGTGGCAGCAGCTGTGGCAGCAGCAGCAGCGGCAGTAAGAGGTTCTGTCTCGCTCCCCCCCTCTTCACTCACACTCCCACTATCACTCTCTGAATCCACCACCACCCTCGCCCCCTCTACAATCACATCCCCCTCCCGCCCCACCTCCCCTCCCGCACCTTCCGGCATCTGCTTATAAGCACCCGCCCCTTCCATATCACTCTCCATCACTCCCGCTCCTCCTCCTTCAGACGAGCTTGGTGAGTGCTTGGGAGACAACGCAGCAATCACATTCTGAATCAGTCCCACGAGGCTCCGATCAGCGCTGGAGGAGGTTCGGAGCGGTGTGGAGGCGGGGGGAGTGGTGGAGAGGGGTGTGGAGGAGGGAGGGGAGGAGGAGACGAGGAGGTAGCCCCGGGATTCGAGCTCTTCGGGGGTGGGGTAGGTGACGAGGGCGGCTCGGAAGAGCAGCGTTGGGACGACGAGATTGATGAAGCCCTGGCAGATGATGGCCACCCAGTTGCAGAACTGGACTAGCACCTGCGGAGAGAGAGAGTAGAGGCAGGGGATTGTGCACGTAAGGGAAGGATGGTGGGAAACGGTTAGTGGCAGGCATCTTCAACAGGGTTGATAAAGCCCTGGCAGATGATGGCCACCCAGTTGCACAACTGCATGAGCACCTGTGAAGGGGAGTGCAGAGGGGTGCAGAGGGGTGCAGAGGGAGTGCGTGCAGGGGAGGGATGGTGGATAAGGGAGGGTTGGTGCAGAGTCGGAGAAGAGGCCTGAGGAGTGCAGGTTGTAGCGGACCATGATGGCCAGGATGGGCACTGCAGGTATGCGTACCCCCCCATACGGACTGTAGGTTGTAGCAGGCTGTAGCAGGCTACAGCAGGCTAGAGAGACCTCAGGACTGCAGGTTGTAGCGGAGCGGACCATGATGGCCAGGATGGATGGGGACTGCACTGCAGGTGTGCTTGACCCCCATACCGGCTGTTAGGTTGCAGCACGCAAGAGAGGCCTGAGGACTGCAGGTGTGCTTATCCCTAGGAGAGTCCCACCTGAGCTTGGTAGAAGAATGCAGTGAGTAGCCAGGGCGCTACCGCCGCCCAGAAGAAGGCAACCGAGTCGGAGAAGAGACCCGAGGCCTGCAGATTGTAGCCCGCCTGTAGCACGCTATAGAGGTGCGGGGAGGGATTCGGTTTGGAGTTACGGGTTTAGGGTTAAAGTCTTACCTGAGCCTGGTAGAAGAATGCAGTGAGTAGCCACGGCGCTACAACCGCCCAGAAGAAGGCGGCTGAATCGGAGAAGAGACCCGAGGCCTGCAGGTTGTAGCGCACCATGATGGCCAGGATGGGGATGCCCGGGATGTAGCCGAAGAAACCCCACATGTACACTGAAAACTCTGTTGCTGGGGAGACCTGTAGCACGGCAGAAGGGAGAGGGGTGAGGGAGGAATGGGGTGAGGAGGGAGTGGATGTTAGAGGGAGGGGGATGGGGATGCCTGGGATGTAGCCGAAGAAGCCCCACATGTAGACTGAAAATTCCGTTGCTGGGGAGACCTGCAGCACGGCGGGAGAGGGGGTAGGAACAGAGGGCGAAGGGAGGTTGAGAGAGGGGGTTGGGATTCCCAGGATGTAGCCGAAGAAGCCCAACATGTAGACAGAAAACTCTGTTGCTGAGGGGGAAAGGAGGTCGAGAGAGGAAGGGAGAGAAATGGGGAAGGAGAGAGCTGGAAGGGGGAGAGTATGGGGGAAGAGGAAAGCAGAAGGAGGGAAGGAAGAGGTGGGAGGGAGGGGCTAAGAGGGGGTTGGTGAGGACAGCAGTTTGTAGCGAACCATGATGGCCAGGATGGGGATGCATGCAGTTTGTGGGACTCACGTGATGCGTGTGGCCATGGAAAGGCTAAAGTAAAGACTGAATCATGTCTACGAGCTCGCTGGTTCTACGTAGTCACTATGTTTCTCGTTTTGTCTTGTTTGTTTGTTTGTTTGTTTGTTTTTGTTTGTTTGTTTGTTTGTTTGTTTGTTTTTTTTTTTTTTTTTTTTTTTTCTGGTGGGGGGAGGGGGGATCAGAAGGCGAGCTTCTCACATGGGGATGGCCGCATGCAGTGGCAGCATCAGCCTGCCCATCCAGCATGTTGAGCATGTTGTCTGTTCCCTTGAACGGGTGGCCTGGGGCTATACCACAGTGCTTGCTGGTGATACAATGCAAGGCACGCTTCTCACAGAGGTGATCACAAGGCAAGGCAAGCGTCTCACATGGGGGTGGCCGCACGCGGTGGCGGCATCAGCCTGCCCATCCAGCATGTTGAGCATGTTGTCTGTTCCCTTGAACGGGTGGCCTGCGTCGTCCACTAGCTTGTACGCCCACGCTCCCAGGAGGCCTGCAAGGTACAGAGCAAGGCATGGGGGTACAGTGAAACGAAAGCCCTTGTGTTCCCATGCACTTGAGCCAAGGCAGGCAGATAGGGTCAAGAGCACAGTCTGCAGCAGCAGGCAGTCACGAAGAAAGGAGTGTAGTGAGACGTCTCAAAACACGCTCCTAGGAGGCCTGTAGGGTACAGAGCAAGGCATGGGGGTTTCTGTTCCCATGCACTTGAGCCAAGGCAGATAGGTCACGAGCACAGTCTGCAGCAGCAGGCACTTATTAAGGCAGCCCTGAACCAGGGCACATGAACGGTGTAACAATAAAAATCGTCACAGTTTATAAGTGCAACCGCGTGTTACTGTATCAGTGTTGCAGTGTAGCGACCTGATGTTGCAATCATGCATTCCAAGTGTACCACTGTTGCGTTGCAACAATTTGGCATTGCTTTATTTTTAACTGTATAATGGCTTACCAGGCAGGATCTTCAGAGCACAGCCAACAGAAGCAAACAGCCAGATGGCTCTTGACACGACTTAAAGGTCAGCGTGGCATTGTGCAGTATTGTAACATTGTAGTACTGTAAAATGTAACATCGTAACTGTGTGTGGCTTACCGAGTAGGATATTGAGGGCACAGCCAACAGAAGCAGGCAGCCAGATGGCTAGGTTGACTCGTGGGTCCACACAAAGGTTAACAGCAATGTAACCACGTAACCGCATGTGGCTTACCAAGTAGGATGTTGAGGGCACAGCCGACAGAAGCAGGCAGCCAGATGGCTCTGTTGACGTTGACACCTGGCTTCTTCTCATTGGCCCACGAGGGGATGGTGCTGACGTACGAGTATGCAAACACACACACCCCGAGCACCTGACGAAGGGGGATGAGGAGACCGGAGGGGGGAGGGGGATGATGGGAGATGAAAGGCAGGTGAAGATGATTGTTTTGAGACGTCTCAAAACATCGCTCTTATCAGGTGAAGCTGATCGTGCAGGTGAAGCTGATCGTGCAGGTGAAGCTGATCGTGCAGGTGAAGCTGATCGTGCAGTTGAAGGACGTGAAAAAATTGAGGCCGTGAAAGGTTGTCCTTCAAAGCCCATTCTCAGATGCCGTTCTTTCACCTGAGAAAGATGGGTTTGGAGGCCTCGATATATCGAGAGTTCCAGAAAGGGCCTTCTTCCTTCCCCATTTCCACAGAGTATGTTGGAGAGGAACTGGGCGGCGAACTCAAAGGAGAAGAAGAGCTGGGCGAGCATGGACCAACTTTCCCCTAGCTTATATCGAGTACAGCCCTCACCTGGCTTATATCGAGTCCGAGAAAGGGCATTCTCCCTGGGCTGTTGCCAGCGCAGTACTTGGGGGACCCGGGGAAGAGGTTGGAGAGGAATTGGGCGGCGAACACAAAGGAGAAGAGCAATTGGAGAGGAGAGTATGGAACAGCCCTCTCACCTGGCTTATATCCAGTCCCAGAAAAGGTGTTCTCCCAGGCCCGTTGCCAGCGCAGTACTTGGGGGACCCGGAGAAGAGGTTGGAGAGGAATGGGCGGCGAACACAAAGGAGAAGAGCAGCTGGGCGAGCATGGAAAAACTCCCACCTAGCTTATATCGAGCACAGCCCTCACCTGGCTTATATCGAGGCCCAAAAAGGGTGTCCTCCCCGGCCCGTTCCCGGCGCAGTAGTTGGGGGAACCCGGAAAGAGGTTGGAGAGAAACTGGGCGGCGAACTCAAAGGAGAAGAGCAGCTGGGCGAGCATAGAGAGCCACTGGAAGCCCATGTTGTCGTCTAGGTTGAGACGAGCGAATGGGACGCAGACTGCCATTGCCAGGACGAATCTGCAGTGGAGATGGGGAGAGGGGAGAAGGGAAGGAACGGGGGATAGGTGGAGGGAGCAGAGAAAACGGCACACAGGTGAGCAGCTGCGCGAGCATGGAGAGCCACTGGAAGCCCATGTTGTCGTCCAGGTTGAGACGAGCGAATGGGACGCAGACTGCCATTGCCAGGACGAAGCTGAGGGAGCGGGAACACACGTGAGGAGGGAAGAGAGGGGTGGGTGAGGGCAGAGAGGGGTGGGTGAGGGCAGAGAGGGGTGGGTGAGGGAAGAGAGGGGTGGGTGAGGGAAGAGAGGGGTGGGTGAGGGAAGAGAGGGGTGGGTGAGGGAAGAGAGGGGTGGGTGAGGGAAGAGGAGCACAGGAGAAGGGAAGAGGGAAGATAGGGATGGACTGGGATAGGTTGGGGGATTGGGATAGGAGCAAGACTCAAAGCTGGTTTTTGAGAATTCTCAAAAACCAGGTCCATCGTCAGCAGCATGAGACTGAGTTGACTTTTGAGTCGACTCAAAAGTCAACCAGGTCCATCGCCAGCAGCATGAGACTGAGTTGACTTTTGAGTTGACTCAAAAGTCAACCAGGTCCATCGCCAGCAGCATGAGACTGAAAGTAGAGTGAGAGTAGAGCTGAACACTGCGACGAAGAGAGTTCTTGAGTAAAAGCCGGCGACCCTGAACCAGTGGTTTAGTCCCACGGCTTTAACTCTCACTCTGCTTCGTCCGCTGTGGGCCCTGATATCTGTATACCTGAGTCGCTTTTGAAAACCCTAGGCCCTGATCTCAAGAGCTGTGGGACTAAAACCCTGAACCCTGGACCCTGCTCGGTATGGCCTGAACGGTAAAGCCGAAAAGGAAACCTTAGTCCCGCATTTGATGTCCCCCTCCCTGTTATTGCGTCTTCTCGCTTCCATTACGAGGGTTTAGGCCAGGGTAGAGGGTTTATTTTCTACCTCCTTCCTCCCAATCTGCTCCTCTCTAGCCCAGCTCTCTTCAACTCCCTCACTCTCACTCACAAACATTTATTGGTCATATCCCCACTAGTGACCTACTCACCCAAGGGAATCACCGATCGGCTGCAGTCACCGCTGCTGGTGGTTTCCCATGCGCACACATTCCCTCCCGCCCCCTGCATATCTCCCCGCGTTGCTGCATTTCTCCCTTACACACTTCTGTTTCTCCCTCTCTATCTCCTTCACTCACTCCAGGGCGATCACTGATTAGTTGCAGTCGCCGCTGCTGGTGGTCCCCCATGCACACACATTCCCTCCAGTCCCCCCCCTGCCTCTGTACCTTCTTTCACACCTCTCAATCCCACTCTCCCTCCTTCACTCACCCCAAGGAGATCACTGATCGGTTGCAGTCACCGCTGGTGGTGGTCCCCCATGCACACACATTCCCTCCCGCGCCCCCCGTCGCCAGCGACTCGATAAACGTCGGAGGCCATTGACCGTAGTCCAAGCCATACGAGGTGCCGGCTAGTCGATACACCACCGAGTCTAGGACCTGTGTGTGTGAGGGGAGACAAGGGTGGCAAGTTACATGACTAAATGGTTCTGTAAGGCACCTCGATATTTGATGACACGGTGTTGTGGTTTCGCCGAACCAACCTGAATGTGAATAATGTGTTCTAGAGATCCTCTTCCTATGTGTCCTGGGTTAGAATCCTCGAAATTAGAAAGAATCCCACATATCAAATCTCATATATCACTTTCATGTGAAAGAAAACTACCCATAGGGTTCATTTCTTCTTCTTCCCTTCTTCAGTTTTTTTTCACTGTACCTGCGATGTAACAATCATGGACGCGATATTCGACGCGAGCAGCCCTGCGTTGAATCCGATTTGCGCGAGCGTGTACCACCGATCGCCGAAATAATGCCGCACGAGCGTGCAGTATTCGAACCGCCTCGCGAAACCCTTGTTACCCGGAATTCGCTGCTGCGCCTCGCACATCATCGTGGCCGCAAACGACGAAAACAACCACATGAGCGTCAACCCCGCAGTTGGTAAAAACCATCCCGCCTGTGCGTATAGCAACGGGAGAACCACGACCGCTGGGCCCGTGATATTGTTGAAGTTGAGAACGCAGGATCTGGCGGTGCGGATGGGTGGGAAGGGGTGAATGGGAGTGGGGTAGGGTTGGGTATAAGAGGTAGCAGCAGCAGCAGCAGCAGCAAAAAAGAGCAAAATCGAGTACGCAGGCTTCTAGGATGCACAACGGGTAGGATGGAGGGAAAACGCACCACCCCCTTGCTTTCTATTTCCTCGCCCACTCGTCGGCCCACCTCCCACCAACATCCCCTTACCGAAAGGGAGCGTTGGGTGGAGGATGGATTCATCACAGAATTTGTGGTGATGGTGCAGGTGCTGCTCGTACCCTTAATTCACCAAAAAGAGGGACCGCGTCTCACCCTCAACCCATCCACTCACCCCCAGGCCGTTCGCCCACGCACCCCCAGAACGTGATAGTTTTATCGCCGAAGCCGTGGTGGTGGTGGTGCAGGTGCTGCTTGTGCCCTTGATTCCCGAAACAGACTCCCCGCGTCTCAACCCCAACCCGTCCACTCATCCCAACCCGTCCACCCACGCACCCCCAGAACGTGATGGTTTTATCGCCGAAGCCGTGGTGGTGGTGGTGCAGGTGCTGCTTGTGCCCTTGATTCCCGAAACATACGCCCCGCGTCTCAACCCCAACCCGTCCACTCATCCCAACCCGTCCACCCACGCACCCCCAGAACGTGATGGTTTTATCGCCGAAGCCGTGGTGGTGGTGGTGCAGGTGCTGCTTGTGCCCTTGATTCCCGAAACAGACGCCCCGCGTCTCAACCCCAACCCGTCCACTCATCCCAACCCGTCCACCCACGCACCCCCAGAACGTGATGGTTTTATCGCCGAAGCCGTGGTGGTGGTGGTGCAGGTGTTGCTCGTGCCCGCCCTGCAAGTTGCACTCGCTCCGTTCGCGCGGAAGCAGCGCCTCTGCGCGCGCGGCCGCCATGTCGGGGGAAGCTCTGGCGGAACGAGAGGGGAGCACGAGCGCGATGAGCGGGAAAACAGGGAAACGGTGGACGGTTCAAACTAATTAACGGGGGAGGGAAGAGGGGGTAAGGGGGGGGGGGGGGGGGGAGGGGGGAGGGGGAGGGGGGGGGGGGGGGGGGGGAGGGAGAGGAGAGAGACAAACGCGACGATTTGGGAAAGAGGGCAACGGTAAGAAGGTCAGCCTACTCGATTCGCTCCGCTCGCGCGGTATCAGAGCGCTGCGAGGGCTACTGCTATGTCCTAAGGGAGGACTCGGAAGAATGGGAAGGGGAACGCGGAACGAGTTGCGCAATTGGACACGGGGGGCGGAAGGGGGAAGACGAGATGCCGGGTTCAGTGAGACGAGGGAAGCGGATGGTCGAACGGAGGATTAGGTGGACTCTTGTGGAAAAACTGAATGAATTCGGAGGGGAGACGGGGAGCCGACGTATAATCAGCACGTTTCGAATTGTCCTGATGGAGCCGTGTTGCAAGTTTGTATATTCGTTGCGCGTTATTCGATATGGATTCACTGGAAAGCCGATGCTGGGGTGAGGGTTGGTTAGAGGGGAATTTGTCCTTCTGGAGCTTATGTCTAGCGGAGACGCCGACGGCAAGTGTAATTTACCACTTGGCCATTCTACAGTCGTGAGACATGGGGTCAGGAGGGGTCAGGAAGGGTCAGAAGGGGTCAGAAGGGGTCACCTGTATCCATAATCTGAGCGAAATGTTCCTTTTCTCGCGAAGCCGTCTTTCATGTTCGCCATGCTCGCTGACTTAGGATCCTCCGAACTCTCTTGCTCAGTACCGCCGGCGTTAGACGAAGCTGTAACTGTTACTGCGCGAGATCGGCGACGAGCAAGTGGTTGAGAATCGGCCGGCCTACTGGTGAGTGCTATGGATGCGGGACCTATACTGCCGATCTTTAAGCTATTGCGAAGAAGTGATATCGGTGTGACAAGTAACTTTCGTATATTGGAGGAGAAAGACGCGACTACTTGGGCCATGAAAGCTGCATTGCCATCTTATCTCAATGCAGAATAGCTTGATTTGCGAGTGAACCATTTCAGAAGGTGGGGGATATGGTTCGTTCCCACCAAATTACCGAACCACAGGGACAGAGTGAAGAGAAGGAAGAAGCAAAGGCGGAGGGAAGAGGACGAACGGGCCAGAACGACAAGGACACCCGAACTTGACGCTGTAAGAATGCAGCGAAGCGGTTTGCGAAATTGTCGAAAGCTTAAAAGAGCTCATCGTGAGAGGTCGTGCCGATTTCGTGAACTCGTTTCCGTTGTTTGTGGGATCAGGTAAGGATGACTGCAGCGTGTCTGGCATGACTAATGGTAGGCTGTTTGGCGGGCTCCCTTGGCTCGGATGCTTGGCAGGATGCAAGAAAGGGCGGCTCGGAATTGCCGTAGTCGTTACGTTCTGATGACTGCTGGCCGACTGGTTACCAGCTGTAAGAGTGGGCAGGTTGGGGCCAGGGAAAATCTTATTGATGAACGTGTCCAGGCTGGGCGTTGCTCAGTGGTGGAACGAGCTTGGTCATCGAAAGCGCGTGGACTCCGTCCGCGTTGGCATCGAATGACTCGTCACCTTCAAGGTTTGCTTCTCCAACCTGAGTGCGGAACTGGTAAGGGGCGAGGTTCGATTTCGTGGTTCGGAAAGAACAAGGATGTCCGAAGTTCCCGCGTTTTTGGAGGAAAACAGCTGTTGGAGCAGACCAGACAGTCACATCAAGAACGAAACTGCGCTCATCTCATCCGAACCGAGAGGTCCTCCATCCACCATCGACCCGCGCCGTTCATTCAGGGACCCAGGCTGCGTCAGAATGAAAGAGGGATGTGACTCAGAAGCGTAGGGCTTCTGGCTGGGGATGCTGTGCAAGGTTCATCGTATATGGACACACCTCACCCTTATCAATCTGATACTGTGTACTGTTCAAAGCTCGGTAGGGCGAGGCTCGTTTCTCGTTGACGAAACCGTGTTTCTTGTTGTCTAATAGATGAAATCCAGGGTGAAGTTTCTGGATATGGGTATACTTCTGGTGAGACCCTGATTCTTTTAAGAGCCTTAATTTGTATTAAAGAGCCTTATTCAGAAGAGTATGTTTTAGTATTTATAAGTTGTAATCTACAACCTCATACTAAATATTCTCATATCACAAAGATCCAGTTGCATGCAATGCAAAAGTCATATACCAGATGAAACAATACCGATATTTTTGAAATCCAGCTCTAAGATAAAAAAAAGACTTACAGTCCCTTGCACCAAGAACCAGTCTGTCTACATCGAGTCATTCATTTCTACACCAAACCCCTTAAGTTCATCTACGAAGCCCAAAAAGTTATACAGTAACTAACGAGTCACCCGTTCCCCCCGCCATCCCCGGACAAGCCTACACAAGTTTCCATACTCCAGCATCTCATCGT